ATGTAAATTATAATGCAAAAGAACAAGAGAGGCATTGCCTGTTAAATTTACTCAATGCCTTTCAAGGAAATCAGGGCTGATTTTTGCAAAAACTCATAACAGCACAATCCTATCATGTTTGCTGCAGTTGAATGGGGAAGGAAGATACTCCCAGGCTAGGGTGTGAAGCTTTATTGCTGGCATTCACGTGTACTGAAGCCAGATCATATATTCTGGGATGTAATTGTGTGCATGCTGACATGGGAGTAAATTTAATTGAGCATGGTGCAGCTTCAGAATAAACATGCACAGGATCACTCTGCATGATTCCAATCCACCACAGGGATGGGGAAGTGTTTTGAGGGTGGCCAGGGATGTTAGGGGAGTATACAGTTGGAATTGTCCTCAAAGGTCATCTAGTCCAACCCCCTGACAAAGTAGGAAACCCACAGCTACAGCATCTCTGTTAGAGGTCCATACAGTCAGAAAGGACCAATGGAGGAAGATGTTTCTTTGACAGAGGACAATCCCATCCATCACTCTTCCCATTTTGTCTTTTTCCATCCATGTGACAAGGAAAATCCTTTGCAAAATGTGAGTGTTCCAGGCTATAGCCATCCTGCTGAAGATTAACAGCAGAGAATGTGCATACCGCCAAGCCCTGAGAGGTCTGCAGCAACCTGGTGTTTGCAGCTGTGGCTATTCCACAAAATCAGCCTTTATTGCTTTGCCTTGAGAAAAGAGGGTCTGTCATTGGGAAGCAATATCAGTGCTGTGCTCCAATCTAATTTGCAGTAGTTTGTGGCAATCTTCAAGAAATGTTGAGTTTGTCTGGTGCAATTCAACACATTCCCCAAGACAGAATTCATAGGAATGCTTTCCAACTGAAGTTCTCATCAGCTGTTAGTACAAGCAGTGGCAGTGTGTCTATTTTAAGAAGCTCACTAAGAACACGCAATACCAATAGCTCCGTGTAAAGTATGCATTGTTCTGGAAAAGGAATCAGGTGGAAAGCTTCTAGCACCACATTTTCCCACCTAGTTATATTTATATTCATTTCTTTCAACTTTCTTTCAGACATCTAGCATTATGGTAGAAAAAATGTGGTGCATGGCAAACATAACATTACGTTATTCAAACCATGAGGAAGCAGTGTATTTCCAGGAATACAAATATTAGTGAGCCAGTAGGGTGTCACAATTGATGGACTAGGAAGTCGTAGGAAGGGCTGTAGCTATATTAATCTGCTGGATCTTTGGGTTCTTAGGAGACGTAGAAGCAGTGAACAGAATCTCTTCTAGGGGTGTTGAGTTGGAAAGCCAGGACAAATCAGATCAAGAGAAGTCAAGGCAGTTCTCTTCATACAGAAGTCAAAACCATGGACAGCTCCCAGTTGGCTCTGATGGCTGAGCCATGGACAGATGTCCCTACAGAGGCCTGAGGCCATCTGAAATCTTTCATAGGTTGGCTTGGCCTCTACTGCAGATTGCCCCAATCCATGGAAGAACTGTTTATCTGTGGGTCTTTAAAAGGTACCTATCCAGTTCTGTAACAACCACTTTCTATAGCATAGGAGGTCCTGCTGGAGGTTCCCTCCTAAGTGGGGCACCTTGCAGTTCCTCCTCATCCATTACTTCCTGGAAGAAGTGCAAAGGGCCAGGTGCAGGTTCATGGCATCTGACACTCCAGTCAGAGCAGGGACAGACTCCTAAATGAGTCGGGTAGATGAATTAATGGAATTACTTCAGAGCAGGCCTCTTCCTATGTTTCTAAGTAGATGTGGGTGGGAATCCCTGCTCAGTGAGGATGTACTCAATGGTCAGTCACCATCTGCCAGCTTAGCCTGTGTGCAAAATGCTGCAGAGAGGGGCATCTATGATACTCTGAGCTGCTTGAAAGAGTATGGGTATTGCGGACTGGACCCACTTCCCTCAAAATACAGCCTTCCAATATTGCTACCCCAGAATCTGAATCAGAACTGGAATTCTTAGATGAAAAGCCAAGGTCAGAAGACCCAGTGCCATGCTAAGAGGCTGGTGGAAACCAGACTGCATTTGATTCAGTGAGAAACTCTGTTAAAGCAGCAGAGTCAGATGCGGGTGGATGTAGCAAAATCAGCCCCATCATCCAGTGTCAGATCAAAAGATCAGATCAATTGAGTACTGCCTGATGTTCCCACCATCTGGCCAGCCATCAGCAGGGACCACCCTAACTTTTGGGTTGGGAATGGGGGAGAGGGATTCATTGTGGAACCAACTGCTTAGCAAAAGCCCCCTTCCCCAACAGATGGCACCCAAACTTTGCTGGTATCTTTGGCCAATGACTTCTGCAGGATTTCTCTTTTATATCACCAAGCCAGCATGGCTGTCATTTTTAACATAATAAAGACTGTAGTCAGTAGCCTCTGTCTTGATCTGCTTGGAAGAAAATGGAAGGGACAATGGGATGAAGAGCAACTGGACAAAGCTGTATCCCCCCGTGGATTCCCTACACAGTGCTCTGTTGAAGTGTACCAGAATGAGGGCCAGTTAGCTGTTCTCATTCTTCTGGTCTGTTAGAAACTCAAAGGATACAATTAAGCTGCATGCCCAGACACAGTTTTTCTTCCCAATGGGAGCCCTCGTTTTCCTCTCCCTGTCATGCTGACATTTTCCTACAGTCCCTGTCTTAACTGGATACATGCAAGGTCATCTTCTGAATTAGTTCTACCAGAAGCAATCATTCCCACCAGGAGCTGACAAGTTGCCATCCTCCAGTTGATGATCATTAAGATACTCAAACTGGAGATGCAGTAGGAGTGATGTTGATTGAAAAATGAAAACACTTGAAGAGAAAGGCCAGGAATGGCCTCCTCCTGCTTATCGTTCAGCCCAAAGACCTTTCCATTTAGGAGCTTGCCTTTCTCCTGAGCTGCATAAGCCATAAACCATATCCGGAGTACTCATCATTTAGGAAATCTCTTTACACAGTCTTGGGATTTTCCTATTACATTTATGGGAAAGATAGTAATGGGGATTTCCTCTCTGTAATGTTCATTCTCTCTATCATACAAGACAGAATGGAGAAGCCCCTGCATGTACCAGAAACTCAGTGGATACATCAGAGCAGCAAAATTATGGTTATTCCTATAGGGGTGGGACCACTCTGTTTGATCGCTTGCATTTTGGAAATATAGAAACCGTGAGTCAGAAGGGTCCTCTCGGACCATCTAGTCTGACCCCCGCCTCCAGCCATCTCCGCTCATGACATGCCTACCATGTGCATGTCCAGCCAAAGGGTAGAATGTGAAGGGCATGCCGCATGGCTGCATTGAATCACCTTGTCCGCTCCAGTACAGTGAAGGGTGTGTTTTTTATGATACCCTTCGTGCCTGAGTGGAAGCCACCCTTTTGTTGGGTTAGGGTCCACCATTTGTAAATGGTGGCTTGCTGCAGCCTCACATGTACTTCTAAACGCCTCATGTCCAAATGGAAGTTCCTTCTGTAAAGGAAAAGGACCTGCCCATAGGCAAACTGGCTTCAGATCAGGCAGAGGGGTGGATCAGCTGCTCTGGCTGACTCCTCAGGGAACTTTTCGTCCCTGCTAGCATCTCAGCTAGGACCACGGGAACAATCAGAAGACTTGCCGTGATTTCAGAACCATAGAGAGCAGCCCTGCATCTCAAGTACAGAGAAGATACCCAAGTGCTGACCGGCAATGACTGGTGGGGAATTATGGATAGGCCAAGAAAATATTTCTGGGATCTCCGCCTAGCCAATTATCCAAGCCACTGGTTATTCTAATATTCAACATCTCCCCCAGCAGACAGGTTGCCAGTAAAAATCAGGCAGATAACCCATGCTAAGGTTGCATTCCCCCAAAGTAGAAAATTATAAAATTGTGGCCTGTTTTGGTCCAGTAATGCTCTAGTTTCCATCTCCCCACTGCTCCAACCACTTCATTTCACTCCATTCCCCATCCAAGGTATAATTATATTTTTATTTAATGAGCTTAACATTGAGCATGCAGGAATGGCAAGTACGGCTTATTTAACACTGGAAAAACTAGACCACTACTTAATTCTTAGTTTCCCTGGTAAACATCCTCTCCTTTAAATGCAAATCCCCTCTCCCAATTCCATTAGTATTTCTTTGCACCAAGGAAATGTTAGAATGCCACACACGTATTCTTGTTACAGCTCCCTGGTAAGTCAGCGGTGAAAACTGTTCCCAAATGTTCCTGTGCCTCAAATTGCGTGTACCTCTGGAGTGAGGAGGAGCTGACTTGCAGTAAAGGTGTTAAGAGCAGAAGAGCATGAGAACAGCCCTGCTGGATCAGGCCAAAGGTCCATCTAGTCCAGCACTGCATACACATGGAGGCGAACCAGCTGCCCACAGGGTCCCTCCAGCAGGGTGGGTGCAGGACCTCCTCCTGCCCAAGCTCCGCAGCAGCTGGTGCATGCAGGCAGGCCACCTGTGGAGAAGGAGGGAGCAGGGATAGCCTCCTCCCCCATGAATCTGCCCACTCCATGAATCCAGATGGACAGCCATCACACTTCCCATGGCAGTGAATTCTGTAGTTTAACTCTGTGCTGTGTGAAGAAGGCCTTCCTTTCATCAGTCCTAACCGCCACCAATCAGCTTCATGGAATGATCCTGGGTTCGTGTGTTATGGAAGCAGGAGAAAAATGCCTCTCTCTCTCCTTTCTTCACTTCATGCATCATTTCAAACACCTCTATCCTATCTGCCCTTCCTCACCTTTCTCCTAAGCTGAACAGCTCCAGCTCTCATAGTTGCTCCTGACAGGGAGCTGCTCTAACCCTGATTATTTTTCTTGCCCTTCCCTGTACTTTCCCCAACTCAATAATGTCCTTTTTCAGGTAAGGCGAACAAAAAAGAGCACAATAGCCTAATTGCGGCTGTACCAATGGTTTCTATGCATTAAGACACAAGCCTGGCTAGCATATAAATGTTAACAGTAAAGAAAAGCAGTTATATAGTAGATTTTTACATGAGTGAATGTCGCCATTTTGAATGCCTACCTGACATAGAGGGAACGCTTCTGATTGGTTCGCAGGGAGCCCGACCCCGAACTCATGCTGTGATTCATCATCTGCTCACGCAGGTCATGGATTTTGGCCTCAAACCGAGCGTACTCTGTTAAAGAGAAGAGCAGCTTTCAAAAGGTTTCCAGTCATCAGCTCATCACTCCAAATAGACGGATTAAACACAGAAGAATATGAACAGAACACGTGGAAGCCATGTGCCAAGAATCGGGGCCAAGAGTTCTGTCTGTGAATTAACACCAATAAAATAGGTCATGGCTGCCCCACCATTTCTTTCCACATGATTTATTTTACAACATTTATACCCTGCCTTTTCTTCTAGGAGTTCAAGATGGCTCACAGCACTGATTTAGAAGTTCTTTAAAAGGCCAGAAACAACCTTCATTCATAACTTGAGCACTAGACATTAAAACATGACCATATTGAGCAAAATGAGGTGTCGCAGGAAGGCAGATTAGTTATACAATTTATAATTGTTGCGTTTTACTCCCAGGTAGAAGGATCTTGTGGGATTTTCTTGTCTCTGGTGCCAAAAGAAACTTGGCCAGAGTTGGACGTTATGTACCTCAGGCAGCAAAAAGAAGATGGGTAGCCAACAGAGCAAGCCTGCTTTAAGGAAAAGCAGGAAAAAACAACAACTAGAGATAGCCAGAAAGTTGCTAAAGTAGTTTTCAGACAAAGTTCTATGAAGATAAACAACCAGAAATATCTCCAGCGGAATATCATATTGCAATCTCTTAATCTCATTCATGATAAGCGTTGTATAATGAAAAGGGCTCCAGAGTTTGATTCATTAATCAATTAAGTGATGCAACAAATCAAGATCTAATCATATAATAAGCTGCAGTCATCACAAAGGAAGATTTGACCTCAACTAAGACAGAGAAGACAGCAAGCAAAGACTCCAGGAGACAACGTGGCTGTTGGGAAGGATGGAGCGTAATATTTGGGATAAGTGAGCGGGTAAGGTTGGAGCCCCATCTTATTTTCTAGTGAGAAAGCGCCACTGACCTCAGCTCAACTTCCTTCTGAGGGAACATCTATAGGATTGTGCTGCTTGAGAAGTTTCTGTTGGTTATAAAGACGTGAACGCTTTTCCTTTCACTGCTTTGAAATTGCACCTGATGGGGCAGCCCCATCAAACTGGAGAAGGGCAACTATTGTCCTGCTCTGAATCAGACAGGAGCACTTGCTATTCCCTACTCTCATTCCTGCTAGTCGAAGCAGCAAATTGGAATATTAGCAGGTCCAGACAGACTGCAATAAAAATGTGAGGTGAATGCAGAATTTTTGTGTAAAACCTGCTTCTTAAGTTAGCATAATTTCTTGCAATAAAAGAAAGCATGTGGAATGTCATGCTCTCTAACTTAAGCACATTAGATCTACACCTATCTTCTGAAGCAACATAAAGCAAGACTTTATCCTCATCTGTGCGCCAAGCTTTCAGGTTCTTGATGAGCGCTACTCCATCTCTTCTACTCCCAGCTAAATATCGCCACCTCCTTTGCTTTTTAATGATAGCTCTTAGTTCTACTTAATTCCTATGGCTCGTGACCAGTACATGATATCAGATTATGAGATCATAGTTCTGTATTGTAATAAATCCAACCCTCTCCCCACACACATCTCATTTTCTTCCATTTGTAAATTTTGGCAAAACCACAGGTCCCCGAGTTAATATTTGCTGTTCACTTTGGTGTCCTTCCCAAAATGTGTTGCTGTTGCATAATAAGGAATAGTTATTTTTATTCATTAGCCCGTAACTGGCAAGTTTTGACCTTTGCAATTGCCAGAAAATCTGTTTTTGTTCTAAACTAAACTGCTGCAGTGACATTGAATTCCTGTTCTCGTCCATGTTTTTTCCATGTGCAGAATTAGCAAATTGCAGGATTCCATGGCCACTCTTGGAACACCTGGCTTGGACTTGCATCCAATACTAGCACAAGATGCTTTCAGAAGGTCATAAGGTGAGCCGTGCTGGATCAGAACCATGGTCCATCCAGTCCAGCATTCTCCTCTTGCAGGCAAGCCAAGTTCCCACAGGATCCCACAAGCAGGAGGGGAGTGTAAGAGCACCTTCCTTCCCAAGTTCCCCAGCAAAGAGGCATCCTGTCTCTGATGCAATTCATGGAATATGGCCTTCAGGACTAGTAGCCCTTGATGAGTCCTGTCCTCCACACAGTTGTCAATCCCCTTTGGAAGCCATCCAAATGGATACCCACCAGCACTTCTTTTGGAAGTGAATTCCATAGTTCAGCTATGTGTTTTGGAAGAAATATCTCCCTTTATCTGTCCTGAATCTCCCACCAGTCAGCTTCATGGGATAGCTCAGGGTTCTGGCATTACAGGAGAGGGAGAAACATATCTTCCTATCCATTTTCACCCAACCATGGACACCTCTTCTATTTCAAGTGCTGCTACCATTCCACATCAGCGAGTCACTGCACCCCCTTGACCATTTTACTTGCCCTTTTCTGAACTTTCCCCAGGCCTACTAAATCCTTTTTAAGGTATGGTGTTTAGAACTGTACACAATATTCTAGATGTGGTCACACCATAGATTTGCATAAGAGCGATAGGATATTGATGGTTTTGTTTCCAAGACCTTTTGTAATTATGCCAGCATTTTCATTAAGCTGTCCATCAGAAATCTCTTTCAAGATTTTTAACATGGATCCCAGCAGCTTAAACCTGAAGTTGGATTTTTTTGCCCTGACGTGTATTACTTCACACTTCACACATCTGCTTACACCAACACCTACTTCTCCGCCCCACAATCTCACTTGGCAGATCCCATCACCACGTTCTTTTTTTCTAGAGCAAGAAAAAAGCAGCTTATATAGAACTCCTCTACTCCATTTGATCATCACAACAAGCCTATGAGGTAGGCCAGGCTGAGAGTCCATGGGAGCTTCACAGCTGAGTGGGGACTACAACCCAGATTGTGGTGGCTGTTTGCCTTGAGTTATTCATTATATTTACATCCTACATTTTTCCTGCAAGGAACTCAACGAGGCTCACCTAATCCTCCTTCCCCTGCTCTCTATTTCATCCTCACAACAACCCTGTGCAGTAGGTTGTGTTGAGAGGCAGTGACTGGCCCAAAGTCACACAGTGAGCTTCTAGAGCACCTGAGCGCTGCAACACCCAGGTTCTCACTTTCCCTCTCTATGGCCTTTCCATATATTGATGGAAGGACAGATGCAGATGTAGAGCAGATATAGATATATGAAGAAATAAAACATTTACTCAGCAACTAAGCAAAAGTGCAATGGATTTCTACTTGGCAATCCAATGCAGTGGATGGCCCCAAAGTATGTCTTTCCCAAAAGTCTGATATTTCAGAATTGTCCCTGAAAGTAAACAGTATGAAACCCAAAGTGTTTAAGAGATATTGAACACATTGTCATCCAGACATTACATCCATATCCCCCTTTTCCCTCTTGCGAGGGACTCAGGGCATCTCACAGAATCTCACGCCTCCTCTTCATTGTATTGTCACAACAACCCTGTGAGGTAGCGCCAGTGACTGGCTGAAAGTCACCCCGTGGGGGCTGAATGGGGACTGGAATGCAGGTCTCCACAGTCACAGGCAGCACTCACAGTTCCCCACCACAGGGGCTCTTGATGCTCTGGCCTCTTATGTGATTTGTATAGTCTGGGAGCATTTGAGGGCTTGTGAAGAGACAACTTGTCAGAATCTGCAAACTGCCTGAATCATAGAATGGTGGAGTTGGAAGGGGCCACGAAGGCCATCAGGTCCAACCCCCTGCTGTTGCAGGACACCACGTTACACCATCCCACTCAGAGGGCTGTCCAGTTTCTCCTTGAATGCCTCCAGTGTGGGAGAGCCCACCGCCTCTCCAGGCAGCTGGTTCCACTGTTATATTGTTCTGACTGTGAGGAAGCTCTTTCTGATGCCCAGCCTGAATCTGGGTTGCCCAGCTTGAACTGATTATTCCATGTCCTTCACTCTGGCATCAGCAAGAAGAGATCTTGACCTTCCTCTTTGTGGCAGCCTTTGTGGTACTTCTAGAGGGACATCATGTCCCCCCTCAGTCTTCTCAAGGCTGAACAAGCCCACTTCTCTCAGTCTCTCCTCACAGGGCAGTGTTTCCAAACCCTGGATCCTTTTTGTTGCCCTCCTCTGGACCACTTTCTAATTTACCTGCATCTTTCTTAAAACTTGGTGCCCAGAACTGGACACAGGATTCCAGGTGAGGTCAGACTAGTGAGGAGCATAGAGGAACCCTCATCCTGCCCTCAGCCCTTCATTCTCAAGGCCTCCTTCCATGCATGCGCAAGGGGTTTGTGCTGTCCACTTTGAAAGTTTGAAGAGGCCCACTCCAGCGTTTGCAGGATGCGTGCCCCTCATTTCCAGGGAGCTCACAGTCTTTGTGAACTCTTCAGTGGCTCCTTGTCTGGTCCTCATCTCTCTGCCCCGATGTCCTAGCTAGCCAGCTTCAGTGCTATATAAAGATCTTTACTTTCAGCACAGCTTTTCTGTTCAATAAATAATGGAGAAATTCCATGCATGCAGGCGTGGGAGTTAACAGCTATATTTAGACTCCAGTGTGCAGAGCGAGGAGCGAGATCAAGAGCGAAGTCTCAATAAAGTGCAGCATGAGACTGGCAGTGCCTTCCACTCCAAGCAGAAGTGAACTCCCAGGTGTACTTGAGCCGAAAGCACCTCTTTGGTCCTCAGACGTCTGCTGGAGACAGCTGGGGGAGCAAAAACCTTCACAGGAGTTTCAAGGATATGTCCTCCTTCCAGTGGCATGATGCTGCATATTCAAGATGCTTATCCGCAGAAATAGGATTGAAAAAGGATCTGAGTGACTTGTATATATGGTGGGCGGCTTTCCCTCTACACATGAGCCCCAACTGGTTTGCCACTGCATGTACAGAGTGCTGGGCCATGGGTCTGATCCACCCGGCTTTTCTTATGCTCCTATTATATTCTTTATTTTATTTCTATACTGCCCATAAGCTCAAAATGTCTCTCTGGGCAGTTCGCAGAGTCCAAAAAAATTTCTGTGATTTGGAATTTTATTTTGTGAACAGCACAAAATAAAATACCAAATAGCAAAA